CCCGCCGCCGTCCCCTCCGGCGCCGCCGCCGCCACCGCAGCCGCCGGAGCAGCATGGTCCAGCTGCGGAAGCTGCTCCGCGTCCTGACTTTGATGAAGTTCCCCTGCTGCGTGCTGGAGGTGCTCCTGTGCGCGCTGGCGGCGGCGGCGCGCGGCCAGGAGATGTACGCCCCGCACTCGATCCGGATCGAGGGGGACGTCACCCTCGGGGGGCTGTTCCCCGTGCACGCCAAGGGTCCCAGCGGAGTGCCCTGCGGCGACATCAAGAGGGAGAACGGGATCCACAGGCTGGAAGCGATGCTCTACGCCCTGGACCAGATCAACAGCGATCCCAACCTCCTGCCCAACGTGACGCTGGGCGCGCGGATCCTGGACACTTGTTCCAGGGACACTTACGCGCTGGAGCAGTCGCTCACTTTTGTCCAGGCGCTCATCCAGAAGGACACCTCCGACGTGCGCTGCACCAACGGCGAGCCCCCGGTTTTCGTCAAGCCGGAGAAAGTAGTTGGAGTCATTGGGGCTTCGGGGAGTTCGGTCTCCATCATGGTAGCCAACATCCTGAGGCTTTTCCAGGTAGGGGGGCGCTCCCTCCGGGGCGGAGCACGCCGTGGCTGCCTGCGCTCTTAACCCTAAAAGCTGGCTTGGACTCCAGGGGTGCGGGGCCAGGTCTGCCTTCGCGCATTTCCACCCTGGAGATCCCGCCGAATCCTTCCCACCCCGCCCGAAGAGATACCGCCCCTGCTGGGTTTATTTCCCTTCCATCTCTCCCCTGTCCACGCTCCGCTCCATCCGGCTTGACGTCCTGGATTTATGGCCCCATTTACAAGAAGCAATCTGCGAAAAACAAGGCGATGATTTAAATGGGTTTGCATTAGAGTGAAATATGGTCCGAAAACAGGCTTGTAAAAGTGCCGGGCTCCTAGGAGAGCAGGTTAGGCGCATGGAATATGAAAGATGAGAAGATGCCTCGACACTGGGCATTTCCCAACTCCCCAGCCTCCCACCCACAAGCCACCCGGCAAACCTCGACTCCCTTGGAAAATTTCGAGACGACCTTAAGGACTTCTCAAACCGAGGGCTCGTCTTAACCTAGATGTGGATGTTAATTGCCCATCTCCCTGGGCTGGATTTCCCGGCCAGTAACCAGCCTCCGAGAAAGCGAGCATGGGGCGGGAGGTTCCGGGACCCTCCCCAAGTGAGGAGATGCCGCCCGTAGACGTGACCCTCACTTGGTTGCTCCGGGCAATGTGTTGCACCGTCTAAATTGTATTTGCAGTCCGGCCGCTGGCCGGAGCTGGGCGCTCAGCTTTCCACTCCTGCCGCTTCAAACCTCAGCTCAGAGATGAGCTCATGCTAACTGCGAAACAAAATCGCTTTCCCTGCTTCCTCCCTCCGCCCCCTTCACCCACTACCTCTCTAACGTGGCCCCCAAGCCCAATCTTTGGCTCGGAAGATGATTCCCAGGGCGAGGCAAGAAGTCTTCCGTTGAGAGGCAGTGGGGTGCGCTGAGCAGGGCCCCTGGGTCCTCTTGTGCCGGGAGCCAGAGGGCGACGGAAAAAACGGGAGGAAGGCGGATCCCGGGCCGCTGAGCGGTGGGTTCTACCGCAGTGTTCTCTAGCTTCCCGCTCCCGCAGCCTCTGCCCCATGGTTCCTGAGCTGCACTTGGTGGGAAAGGGTGACTTTGGGGTTCAGAAATTGAGATTCAGGGTCTCTGTGACTGTGGGTCCCCTTCTCTTTGTTTTTCCCCATATGTGCATCACTCTCAGTATCCTTGCTCTCCCCCCCCATCTCTGCCTCCTTTCTCTCTGTCCCCACTCTCAAGTTCTTCGTTCCTCTCAGTCTTAAGATGATCTTTTTCTTAGGTACTTTGTCTCTCTCCCTGCCTGATAGTACCCAAACCCAGTTAATCTCTTCCCCGGACGTAAAGGCTGATCTTAGCACCTTTGTGCTCTTCATATCTAAGGAATTGGCTTCCTCTCAAGTGCTTTCCCTAAAGGTTTTTGCTTTCAGGAGGGGACTCCTTGTGAGATTCAGGCTGTCACCACATCACCTCCAGGAGCGTGAAGTTTGTGTTCCAGATGGAGGAGTGCCTATCCAAGTCTGCAGCTTCCCATGGTCCTGATCTTCCTAGCATCCCTGACACCTCCTGAATGTGCTGTCATGGAGATCCCTAGATGTTTGCAAACCCCAAAGGACTTTGGAGGTAGCCATCACACTGAGTCACTTGCTTTCTGGAAGAGCCTAGCTTGTTGTCATCAAAGCCCAAAAGCACTTCCTTCCTCTTTGAGCTTAAAGCTAGGCAACTTAAGGGGGCAGGGCTGTAGGAGAGGATGGGGGTCAGAGATCAGACATCAACCTGAGAACCCTTGGGGGCTGGGAGGTTACAGCATTTTTCTTGCTAGCCCTGGGGGTTGGAGGCACAGAATATTTTGTGTTCCACTTTGGAAATTATTTTGCTGCCTATTTCTCTCTTCATTCAGAATGGGAAGTACTGCAGATGGGTCTGTCTTTCCGAAAGAGTGAAATGTTAAAGTCAAGAAAGAATTGCAGACTAGGCTGAGGGACTGTATTTGAAAAGATGCTGGGGGTGGGTGCTGATTCCTCCTCTGATGTGTCAACCTGAGGCAACTTGCTAGAAGGGAGGAAAAAAGGGCTGGTCTTACACTCATTTCTCCATTCCCGGAGCTGTGGAGAAGAACCGAATGCCAGCGTTAGCAGTGTGGGTTGGGACTAAAACCATTCAGAGAAAACACTGTCATTTTCCTCTAATTTGCAAATTGCAGCTATTCATGTTGGAATGAACAGCTGAGGGAAAAAGAGCCTCCAGTTTTCACCTGCATTTATTGAGAAGGAGCTGGTAGTAGGAGGAATGCACCAACTTGTAGATTGTGCTGCATGCAAACTGGAAAAACAATTGGGTGGGAAGCAACATGGTTAGCCACTGCCCATGTTGGAAGAATCTCTTCCAGTGGCCTTTGTGTGCACACGTGTGTGTGTGTGTGTGTGTGTGTGTGTGTGTGTGTGTGTGTGTGATCTTAGAAGCTCCTGGCATGTAATTCCAATCCCCCATTTTTCAATTTCTGTAAGCCTACAGAATAGGTAGAGATAATAACAGTATACATGCCCATTATTTAAAGGCACAATCAATTAGGGGGAGAATAAAAGGATGTGGTGTATCTTCTCTGGGATTCCAAGGTTTGGGTCAATTAAGACTGTCCTATATAAAAGACACTACTCCAAATGATTGAATTCCTAGCTCACCAGTGATTTGAGTTTCTTTTTCCTTCTGGTCCCTGTGGTTGCTGAGGGGACCATGCCAAAATGATCACTGGATATAAATTTGTAGTAAGATAAGCCTCAAGGCTGGGAGAGGAAATACTTAGAGACTTAAATGGGGAGGAGGGGTGCTGAGAGCTGTAGGGCAGAAGGGAGTAATAAAATATGAAATAGTGATGCTGTCAGCAAAGCCTGACATGAAGATTTTTTTTTTCCTGAAAATTAGGACTTGAGCAAGAATGACTACTCAGATGTAGATAGTGTCTGTGACTTCAAATTCTCATTTGCCTTCTGGTGTACCAGATCAAAGATATGAGCTGAGCAGGTCCTCTTTCTTTCCTCTCTATACACAGTGAGTAGGTTCATAAATGCCAGGTCTAAGGACAAGAATCATATCCAGTGGGTCTTTCAAATCTAGGAATTTGAGGCTAACGAAATTAGTGTGTGGCCAGCGCTCTGCCAACTAGAATTAAATCACTGCAATTGCCCTGCAATGCATTTTTAGCCTCAAAGAAGCATCAGGGAGGAATTTCTGGAGATTTGTTTCTAAGCCTGTGCAAAATAATACTCTCCTAATGCTAAGAAAGATTAAACGTAAATTAATATTGACTATAAGTAACATATTTTTAAAAAATCATCACAGAGTGGGGATGGCTTCAAGTGGAGAGGTTATATAATATACTGACCATAGGATAAATCTCCCCTGACCACTGTTTTATGGACAATAAGTAAGATATATTATAGTGGGAAGTAATGGGAACATTTTTATTCAAGGCTTCTCTGTTATTGACTTGGGAGCAAACACTCTGAGAGTGTAAATTACTCTTGCTACATCCTGACTCTGAATGAATAATATTTCATGTGTAGTGACTTGGTCTGAGCTATAGACTCGAAATTGAATGGCATCTGTTTCAGTTGGATTTTTTTTCCCTCAAGCAACTAGATGGAAACAGTGGTCAACTCTACCCTTGTTGGAACATAATGCAAATGTAAGCCTGTGAACCTTGTACTATGAATGAAATACATTTGTAAATGTGTCAATATTTTCCTTCTGTTCATTGAAACCTGGATAAAATCTCAAACTTTTGGGGCTATAATTTACACATAATTACCTAAATTTTTTTTCTTTCTTCCTTCCTTTCTCTTCTCTCTCTCTCTCTTCAACTTATGTACTCATATAGAGCTGAGCTAAAAGGTGGTATGGTATTACTATAGTGGGGAGATTTTTTTAAAGCAATTCTAACTTACACTTATAAAAATTTCATAAATATAGGTGTCACTGCCACTTAGAATAGTCTCTATAACAATCTCTGCCTCCACATTTACTGTGTTTTAGGAAATTTACCTAACAGATGGTGAGTGGGAAATTTTTAAAGGGGCATTTTTAAAAAAGCAAAAAGAGAAGAAGTGAAGACATGCATAGATTATATTTGAAGATACTTCCATGTTTATTTTATGTATGCATGTGCATGCAATTAGGATGTCTTTGGGTATTTTTAAGAATAATAAAAAGAATGAATGCATTTACCCCAACTTCATAAACATTTAGAGTTTAACAAATTACAAGTGCACTACATCTTACAGGTTGTATCATGGATTTAAAAGACCAGTGCTGTATTGCACAGTGTGCAGTCTGCCATTAGCTAGCTAAGTTACTGAAAATAAATCACTTAATTTTTGTAGGCCTTATTTTCTTCCTCTGATTTTTTTTTCTAAATAAAATATAGTGTCTAGAAATCTTTAATCTTTCTATTTAGCTTGGAAAATACCTCTCTTGTCAAAACTCTTTACGTATTTCCAGCGGCCACTTTGAACTTTCAATGAATTTGTGGGAACTTTTATAATATATTTTCCCACAGCTATTTTGGTCATTACTAGTCTTGCTAACTCCCATATTCAGACTTTTTCTTTACTCTTTTACTCATTTACTCCTCAATCATTTATGTCAAGGTTGGTGGCATAAAAAATGACCTCCTGGATCAGCTTACTGCGTGATCATAAGACACGGGGCAAAGAGTAAGAACTGTAGAGTGTGCAGTAGCAGTCTTAGCTTTCGTCTTTCCAATGCCCCTTTCTCTTTCATCTTGCAGAAACATCAGACTTTTCTTTCTGAAAACTTCTAAATAATGACATCTGCCTATTATTTTGGTACCAGAGATGAGACACCTGACATAGGTCAAACAAAGCAGGTGTTTGGTTCCATTGTGAGCACCTGACCTTGTCTAGGCCAATTAGAATCCTTCCCAAGAGGTTTCTGTCAGAGAAAAATGGTAACTTGTCTCTTTTCTCCAAAATTT